GGAAATCAGTCTGTTCTGCTTGATTGTATTGCGTTTCATAAATGATTGCTGTACTTTTATTGTAAGCACATCACGTCAAACACAGATCAAACTGTTTATCCAGAAAAGGGGTTTTCCTTTTTCACCCGCGGTTGCAATTCTCCTGACTGATCGTTCGGCTTGCAGGAAAACCAGGAGAATCCAAGTCAAGCTTTTTGGTTTGTTTTGTATTGAAGGATGGGGAGAGACGATATCTGGCAGCAATTGTACGGAAAAGAATCCGTCTGGCCAGGTACTGCACCCTTCTTTGTGTATTTCTAATGCACTAATTGCTGATTTACATCATGTTGAGATCATTGTCAGCCCAGAGGAAGAATAATTGAGAAGTGGGAAAATGTCTTCCTTAAGACGCCCACTTTTTATTCTGGTCATTCTTGTGGTGCCTTTGCACTTGTATTTCAATGAGTTATGTGCCTTCTTTTTTCATTTTACATTTCGTATTAATCTATGAAAATCTGGACTTGTCGTCTATGTGTTGTCTAAGGGGAGTTCTGGTTCACTGTTCACTTTCCAGCTGCTCTAGTAGCAGTGGTGGCACCAAGAGCAGGAGGAGGAATCCTCCAGTGAAATTTTACTCAACCAAAAATTTCCTCTAAGCTTCCCCTCCCAAAGAAAAGAGAACATGGGAACCCCTCCAGGCTTTGAAAAACGTGGGATGCCTTGCCGGTTTGCACCTGCTGACAAAGCCAAGAAAAACCCTGTCTGGAGCAATTCTGCCCCCTGCTGGGTGGGGGCCGGTGTTTCTCCTACCATAGCAGGCAATAGTTTTAGTCTAGTTTTAGAAATTCCATTTCTGCCTGAAAAGCACAGTGAGGGGTTCTGTTGTGTTCCCGTAGAAAGCACATCTTATCACACAAAGAAGAAGAGTCACTCTCTGTTCCCTGGGACAAAAATAATCAGGTAAATAAGCTCAGTATCTTCATTTCTTTTAGGCTGTTTAAGTGTTTAACATCTTTATTGACTTTATTTTTAGGCCTTTTGTCTTTAGGCTTTGTACAGGACATCACACTGCTTAGCTACACTTTGAAATAGGACGTCTTCCATTTCATTAGCCATCTTTCACTTTGCCATTGAAGAAATTAATGTAAAAGTCTTCACGAATTCAGTATGTAGAAGAATAAATGATCTCCTGTTAGAGGACTGTGGCATCTTTACCTGGTAAGAATCGTTGGGCTAGTGTTCTGTGGTTAGGGATCTCCTGTTGCTGCTGAGACTCCCTGCCTGATGGTTGTAATGAAGATCTTCTTTGGAAAGGCAGTGTTTGGTTTTCACCACACAAAACCTTTCTCAGTGTGGCCAAAATGTTCAATTCTTTACAGCTGTTGCAGTTCCAATATCACAAAGATGTCTCACCATCTCCCCCATACTTCCACCTTCCAGGTGTATCTGGGCTACAAGAATGTTGCTGCTCTCACTGTTCTGGCAGGAAAGCAGGAGTGGGAAATCAGCAGTTTGCAGCCCAAGGTACGAGATCTCCAGGAAAGGGTGGACCAAGGCTGGGAAATTGACTTGACTGCACAGTTTAAACAGTGGCAAACAACAACAAGAGCATCGAAATCTACATTTACATGTTTTAATTCTTATGTTCAATTTATTCATTGAATGAATATTAAATGGTACCATATACAATACTGAACAAATGTGACCAATCATCATGGCATGAAAGACTTGGTACCTAAACAAACGGTGTAAACCCATCAATAATATAAAAACTGGAAAAATGAGTAGAAAAAAAAGTAAACCAGAGATCTAAGCAAAGACAAAACAAAAAATAAAAAAAATCAAAGATTTTTTTAATTGTTAGAGTGAGATAATAGTCATTGTAACGGACTCAGTGCTCAGAATGAGTTACAGAAGAGATGTGACCCCTCCTCTGAAAGCTAGACAGTGTAGGCTACTGCCAGAGCAGAGGACCTGGTCTTGTGGAGTGGTGGAGCTGTCTGCCACCCCGGAAGTGGTCCTGTGTGTGTTTGGAGCTTACACTTGTCACGTATACTGTACATTGTCTCAGTGTTGAGAAGACATTTGGGAACCCAACAGGTTAGTTCTTTTTGTTTTGGACCTAAAACGTAATTAGATGGAGATAACCTCAATAAATGTATAATCTTAATAATCCAACAGTAAATATCCTTCTGGGAATAAGTCTGTGAACCCTTACGTTCAGTAAGTGGTGTCACCTCCTGAAGTAGCAATGATTTCACTAGACATTTCCTGTTACTGTTTATCAGGCTCTTGCATTGCTTTTGGGGAATTGCTTCCTACAGGATTGTTTAGGGATTATTGAGGGGTTCCTTGCATGAACTTCTTCTGTCAGAACATTTCAATGGGGTTTAAGTGCAGACTTCGACTTGGCCAATCCAAAATACAAACTTCCCTCTCCTTCTTCGTCTACTTCAGGCATTCTGATTGTAGATCTGTTTGTATGTTTAGGATCATTGTCTTGCTGCATGGCCCACTTCAAGCTCAGCTTTAGTTGACTAATGGATGACCCGATATTCTCCTCCAGACACTGTTGATTGGCTCCATCAATGATGGCAAGCTGTCTGGGTCCAGAGGCAGCAAAGCAGCAGAAACCACGGTTCTCCCTCCACCATGCTTGACAATCAGGATGAGGATCTTCTCTTGGGCGGCACACCACCCATGTCTCAGTGTGGCCAAAATGTTTAACTTTTTACTGGTCTCTTTTTCAGATGTGCAGCATGTGAAAAAGAAAACGAGTAAAAATGTAAGGATGTTGTAAGCAGAGTTATAAAAGCCCCCCCCCCCTTCGATTTACGGGAGGCTGGTCTTCTCTCTGGCTTGTTTGCAGATCCGAATCTTCACGAACGAGGAGGAGGAGATGCTGTCTGTTAAAGTAGAGATGGAGGTGATGGCTCCTGTGTCCCAGACCTTCTCTGTGCTCTCAGACCTCCAGCTCCGGCCCACTTGGGACAGGCACTACGCGTAAGTACTGCAGTGGTCAAGGAGATATGAGAGAGAGAGGGGTGGATGATGACCCTGTTCACACTATAAGGAGCAAGAGCTGTTTCAAACTGAGGCATCACATTCAGGCTTCTCGGTGAGCAGTGGTTGCCCACGAACTCTGAAGACATTCAGATGTTGCCAGGCTGTCATAAGCACACACTGTTGTGTTTATCGGTCTCCTGCGTTGTTGCTGAAAAAAAGTCTGTCATTCCACTAATGGATTTCATGACATGATAATTTACTGTCGGATCAATCAAGTCTGAACTAGGACTGACAGTTGTGCTAGGAGTTTGTCCCAGTGGCGTGTGTGTGTGTTTAGTCCCAGGATTAAGTATTTGTGTTGTTTGGAACACATACAATATTATACTGTAGTTTCTAATAATTCCAAGGATGTTTGACCATTAGTAGTGGTATTGTTATGTATGTAATATGAAGCACCAGGGAGCTGGAATGTCATAGCCAATGATATTTTCATAGGCAGGTCTCAGGAAAACAGACACAAATGCAGCCGTAAGATTTCAAACAAAAGCCTAGCTCTTCTGGGAGATAATAACACCCTAACTGCACACAGTTAACAGTTATGCGGCCTGCCGGCTTCCGAGCATAAACTCTTAAGATTCACACAGAATATTGGCCCACACAGGATCTGTTCCCAAAACCCACAAGTCACACAGACTCTCGGTTTCACACAATAAAGTTTCTGTCCATACAGTAATTCCACACGGTGCCTGGTCACTCTGTTACTCAGGGTCCTGTCTGTATCTGTTCCTGTTCCATATAGGTTCTCTTTTTTGCTGATCTCTTCTTATTTGAAGACTCACAGCTCGACACAGGCCCACACTCAAGTCACGTCCTTCTCTCTCTCTGTGCAGAGGATCGTTGCCCACATGGGAAATCAGATGGACACCAGGAGCCTCCGTTTCCTGGCTTTTAAATTGTCACCTGACCAATTGTCTTCTTGCAACTTAAACAGCAAACCTGATTATTCTCTTTGCAGGAGTTGTGAAGAAGTGGAGACTGCTGGTGATGACGAGAAAGTGTATCATATTAAATGCCCCTCAGTGAACAGTGACAGAGGCAGAGACTTTGTGGTACTGATGTCCAGAAGACAGCCATGCAAAGAGGGGTTTGTATTAAGCATTGTGTCTCCTAGCTTCAGTTAGACCTATGCTGAAAGTGCAATAGATTAGCTGTTTGCAATTTTTTTTTTTTTTACGGTAGGCAAGGCTGTTTCATATACGCATGATCTTCAAAAAATCTGATCTTGATGTCTCTCAATACACATTACACTTATCTTAGTTTTTTGTTAAGATTAAGATTAAGTTTATATTTGGGTGAAGATTTGAGATATACTGAGGCAAACACTTTAAGTAAGCTTTGGGGTTATAGAGACTGATTCCTACAACTACAGCACAGTAATCCCAACTGATTAAGCCATTCTATGAGCATAATATTTAACACTTCTTATCTCAAACTTAAAACGAACCATGTGAAACTCCATATATGCAGACTTTGAGGAGACCAAAATTCAAAATCCTCAAAGGCATCCAGAAATTCAACCCAGTAGATTTTACTTATCATTGAAATAAATTTCAATGAAATGTAATGCTTGAAATATGTTGTATACAGTACTTCGTCCCTCTCACTATCTTGTGAACGGTTTTGTGAGAAAATACTGCTTGTTCCACGAATCAGACTAAAAGAAGTCTGATGCTGTGAAGAGGGCAGATCATTTAGCTTCCAAGGGAAGTGAATGTGGGTGTTCAAATTGCCAGACCATTTATATCTCAAAGGATGTCTGCAACCAGTGATTGCCTGCAGTATATTAACCCGATGACTCATTTGGAAATGAACTTAACAGCAATAAAGTGTATGAGCCTCATTGTCTTCGTTTGGAAGATGCAGCTTTCTGTAGGAAAGGGAGTTTGCATGACCTAAGATTTGGTCTTCAATTACTTGTGTGTACAGTATTAGTTCAAGATGCAGGTCACTGCCACATTCAGTGCAAACTGATTCAGTGTAAACTGAAAATAAGAATACAAACGCAAATCAGTTATCTAAAGTTTGGTTGAAGATAATCCATGGTGCCTTTGCTCCAATTGCAGCTAGTATTAATGAGCAGCTTTAAGCTGCACCAGTTAAATGAAAATACCCAAATAGAGCCTTCATAAAGCCATGCAGTGAGTACCAGAGACAAACAAAATCAGAAAATACCACTCTAAAAGAGTGTCTGAAAGTGTAGCCACACATCGTTAATCGCTCTGTAATTAACTGCTATTTTGTGTTATGCGTATGATGCAACGACGCTCTATCTGTACACTCCAGTAATTGGACGCAGCACACTGAGTTGTGAGAGCTGCAGTCAGTCTTCAGTAAGGGCTCTGTGGATCTCTGGCTTTCTCTTACAAATGAGTTTGAGAACATTCTGTCCTTAGCTGGTCTCTCCCCCAGTAAGCTGTTAGAGGCATTGCACAACGAGCAGAGCTTCCTCTTTGAGGGGCTGTGGATTTGAGGGCCAGATTGAGATTTTTTTTTTATTAAATTAAAATATTTTTCCCTTCCTTTTTTTTTCCCATTTCCTCTGCATTTCTCACACAAACAGCACCTCTCCACAGACTGGAGTTTTGACTAAACTGTGGGAACAGTAACACCTACTGGCTAGATTTGGTACACACATTATCCTCAAACAATGGTAAAAAAGGGTTCTTCATCCATTCAGTGAACACTATGATGTCCTTTTGCAGTCACTAGTGGACAATTCTGTGCTCTGGATTTGCAGTCCTGTAGGTCTGGTTTTACTATTTAATGTAACAATATCCATTATTATTATTATTATTGTAATAATGACCAAATAATAATTACCTATTTGCAAATGAATCGATTTAGAATTAGCATATACTGCGCATTGCTGTTGCCTGTGACAATCTTCACTTAATAATAATTCAGATTTGGAGTCAGGAAGTTGACAAAATGAATGCCAGTCCATGATTTTGTCTTTTTTTTTCATACTGTATGCATTTTTGTAATTTCACATGCATGTTTATAATCACCCCTGATAATTCTCTGGATAAATATGTTCTTATAATTCAACATGAAATCAGTCTATAATATGGAATTCGTAATACTGTACCATGGTCCAGCATGGTCCTTTTCAGGTTTGGAAAAGGTGAAAGCGTTGTTTTGCACTTTGGTCTCACCGTCATGAATGTGTCTCTTGGGAAGCTGCTGTTCATTAAAGTCTGCTCTGCTCTTCCTGAAGGGAACCCTACATCATCGCTCTGCGGTCCGTCACTGTGGCAGCTGTGCCTCCGCTGGCTGATCACACCCGCAGTGAAGCTCTGTGCGCAGGGTTCCTCATCAACAGCACTGGCTGCAGCTCCTGCAAGGTGGGCTCCCCTCTCAAGAGAGGTCACTACAGGTCACAGAGAGGTCACTGAAGGTCACAGAGAGGCTGCTGCCGAAAGAGGCACTGTATCTGTAGCCCTGTGCTCCTGCCTGTGTGCTGTGCTTCTACCAAATTCCACTGACCCCCCCCTTTAAAAAAATCATCTTTAGTTGAAAAGGAGTGAAAGCATCACTATGGAATATTTTAAAACTAAATTCAGACTTCAACACTTGTGTACAGACATCTCTGACCGTGGACACAACAAAGTAACCCATTTTGATGCATATGTACATCATTCTTCAGCCATTATTAGAGTTTAGATTTGAATATGGCAGCGTATGGGTTACAGCAATCAGGTATTACATGTATGACACTGAGAATGATGCATTATTTAGAGCAGCTCTATAAATCTGGGATGTGTTCACTACATGGTAGCATGGTTGAACTTAAGTACTGTCCTTATTTATTTAAAAGAAAATACTGAAAATGTTCCAGGCATAAGACAAAGTAAGGCAAAGAACGAGATAGAAACAAACACCAAGCAGAATGCTTTGCAGAAAAGCCAATATAATGGCACAGTCTGTGCAAACTGTTTTGTTGTTTCAGTACAGCGTACAAGGTTTTGGCCATTCACATATATCAAGAATATATGGACTTTACAGACAACAGGAGGCCAATTATCCAGTCCTGCAAGCTCAACCTGTAGGCAGTCGATCAGAATATACTGTACACCAGTGTTTCCTATTGTCACACCTGAATGTACCTTTCGATAATTTCACCTGCACCATTCAACATTGGTCTGCCGGTAACTAATTTCACCAGGACAACAAAATCCTTCAAGTAACATGGAGACTTTCTACATATTCTTACATTTCTAATGTTAACCTTTTTATACCCATCATACTATATCAGATAATTTTTTTTTCTTCATTGGCTTTTTAGCTGCTGCTGAAACTCAAGGGACAGTACAAACTTCAAACATGCCAGTACACATCATATTAACATATGATGACCTTTAACTTGCACAGACATTGTCATGGTATTGCTTTTATACTGTAAATCAATGCCAATTAAAACACCAGCTTTTAATTCCTGCCATTTATGATTTTAATTGCTTCCAGGCTGTAACAAGGCAGTTGTTAGTCTAATCTTGGCTTCTGAAAACGCAACATCAGGCATTTCACTGCTGAAGCTGGACCAGAGACATCAGCTGATTGAGTTGCAGTTGGGCACAGTGGATTTAACGTTTCCCTTTCAAAGTCCACAAAGCACTGTGTAGAGGTGATTGGGGGGTAAAGCAGGTGACTACAATCACAAGGCAAAGATTTGTTTTTAATCTCTTATTGCCACTGGAGCTGTCCCTATTTGTACACAAAGGTCAATGTAACTGGAATGTTTTCATTAACCATTTTTTTTTAAAAAGATTACGGACCTATTTTTGGTTTAACTTTGCACAGCAAAACAGAGTGATAAGGGTTGTCAAATCTCTCTGCAAAGAGCTGTCCAGGGTCCTGAACTCACCGTACAACTACCTTAATCAAGCACTTTACCGTCCTGCATTAATTGCACTACAATTGCGTAAAATGTGAAAGAGACCCATAATACTGACTAAAATAACAGTGATTTGTGTTAAAGCAAATATTTTCAGTTTCAATGAGTATTTTGTTCCAGTATTACTCTTGGATCCACTTCAAAGTGAACTTAACAATGAGGCGGAAAACGTACTTACTAGGGACTGTCTGAAAGATTTAGGTACATTGTAGTACCTTGGTAAGTGCCTGTCTGGCTTAAAAGTGAGCAAAATTAACAATAGTCTTTTGTGCTACAAAAACTGTTTTATTTCCTTTCTGTTCCATGTGCCGTTCTCAGACTGCCAAGCACCACGATTTAACACTGCTTCTTGCACCGCCTTCACAGGTCTCGTACTTCAACCAAGTGACATCTGGGGTTTTACCATACATCGCTGGAAACTTGGCTGGCTGGTCGAAGTCTCTGGAAGAAACAGCATCTTCATGCATTGAATTTCTAGAAAATAGTATTAAGAGCACCAGGTTCTGAGGCAGGCTTTAATTCCTTTTCATGCTTTTGGTCTGTGGCTTTCAAAGCCCACACTGCTCCTCTGGCTCCCTCTCAGTGCTTGTGGTGTGGCATCAACAGCTACAGTACATCACTGTGTCCAAAAATCACGCCTCTGTGTATCAGGGATTGAAACATGTGGAAAGACAGCGCTGTAATGGAAAAGTATCGATGGCCATCCTGTTTGTATAGTCCCTGCAGCAGAAAACCACACAAAGCTTTAAATGTGCGCGGCGGGGGTGTTCTCCACTTCGTCGGACTGCGAGAGCTCTTTTCTTGTCAAAACATTTCATGGGCACACTGTGGTCCATTACCCAAGTGCTCTGTGACTACTTCTCTGTTAGAACCACACATCTTCTTAAAAAAAAAAATGTGATTTCAACATGCAGTAAATGGAATAGTTTGCTTTCTGTAGGAGAGGAGCAGCTGGGTCCTTTGGTAGCTACCAGGGTAAGCTGCACTTGTAGCAAATGGAACTGCTTTTCTGGAACATTAGGACACTAAAAACATGCAGCTTTTGGAAAAGCACAAAACATTTGACTACGTAAGAATCCCAGCAATGCAACAATGACTCAGTCTGTCCCTCTCTTAAAGCATGTGTATTTTTGAATACTAGTGTATAACCATCAGGCAGCTACCCTAGCACAGGCTTACTACCATGACACACAGATAAGATTAGCTCTGTTTTGGTCTCTTTTGTTTTGGGTCAACAGACAAGCGGGGGTAGCCTTATAGGAAGCTATTTCATATATACTTGCAATAATACTTTGGATGGCACTGGCAGATATACTTTACTGTAGTCATCTGTTTAAGAGATGCTCTGTTGTTTCAGGCTTACTTTTGCAATAGCCCCAGGAACAGCTTTACACATAAGTTGGAATTTAAGGTGCTACTCCAATTCCATCGGAGAGGCACCTCGGCTTCAGGTCCGCAGACAATATCAAGCTGAATCTGAATACGCTTTAAAGAATCCCTACTGCTGATGATGTGATATGTATTTATGAAACGCATTGTGTGGGGATGTAGTTTAAGGTATTGGTCATTTAAGGCCACAACCAACATTAAGCTATGTCTAATATGTGCAGTTTTCAGCGCTGCTCAAATGCGAGCCTTACTGAATTACATCTTGATAATGTCACTTGTACCATACAGGATAACACCAAAATGCAAAACAAAATGAAGACTGTTCAAATACAGATACAATATATGGGTATAAGACTACTTCCCCACTGGAAGGAAGTTGGAAATATGGAAATGTGTACAGACCAAAACCCATGAGCTTCTGGCTTTTACTAACGACATGTTCCCTGGCAGTGTATAAAAGCCCTCAGATACACATTTTGCCTACATGACATTGGATTTCAGCCATACCTTTAAAAACGTTATTACTAATTCCGATTATTTTTTTCCTTATATAAATGTCTTATATGTTAATATTTGTTTAGAATACAAAATTGTAATGTTCCTCCATCGATTGATCAGAATGATAAAAAATTAAATATACAATCATTCACCTTTTCCTGGTTTCATGGACGTATTGCACACTTCTCAGGCTGCCTCCAACCCCTGAGCTCAACCTGAGATATTTATTGAAGTCCCATGTGATTAAAGTCACATTACATGAAAACAGTTTTGACACAGTGCACAGGAACAGCCCATCACAGGGGACTCATACAACACAAATGCCTGGGGGATTTCTGACAGGGTCTTCTTCGGCACTGGCCTGCACCGTCTCTAACTGCTTGGCGAGAGTGGAGCCCCTCTTCCACTGAGGTCTCGCGTGGTGAAGGCCGAAGGCGGGCACGCGCCCTGGCGAGCGAGCTGTCAGAATCAAGGCCTGCAGCGAACGGAGAGGCTTTCTGTGGCGCCAGGCAGTCAGACGTCAGGACCAGGCTGGAGCGTCGGGTCGGGGGTGGACTGAGAGGCACGAGGCTCCACCCCTCAAACCAAGGCCCAGTTCGCTGCACAGTCCGGCGGGACGTCACACTCCAGAGCTCAGGCAGTAGTCATTCCCTGTGGTCCCCCACCAAGAGTTCACATCTTTCTAGAAAGATCCCTTTTGATGCCTCGGGGAAGACGCACCCCCTCAGAAAGTAACCACCTTCGGCTGCTTCGGTTTAGCTTTTTTGACAGGCCCGGCAACGTCCTCGTGGTCCGCACTCATATTGTTGGACAGTCGGCCCACAGTCACAGCTTTCCCTGAGGGAGCACAGAGAGGACAACTGAATTAGATTTCTCCCAAAACACAGGAGGACATGTGCCCTGAGGGTCTGCCCAGGCATAACGACCCAATGCTTCGCCTTGTAGAATAATAATAACAACAACAATAATAATTCCTCACACTTATATAGCGCTTTTCTGGACACTCCACTCAAAGCGCTTTACAGGTAATGGGGACTCCTCTCCACCACCACCAATGTGCAGCCCCACCTGGATGATGTGACAGCAGCTATAGTATATAGCTATAGAGAATATATATATTCTCCCCACACACCGGCTCTCAGTGGGGAGGAGAGCAGAGTGATGAAGCCAGTTCAGAGATGGGGATTATTAGGAGGCCATGATTAGTAAGTGCCAATGGGAAATTTGGCCAGGACGACAGGTTTACACTCCTAACTTTTTCGAGAAACAAACTAGGATTTTTAATGACCACAGAGAGTCATCCGAAGGACGGATAGAAGCATTTGACATCGAGTGCACATCCTCAAATCATGTCAAAAGGCTTCCACAGCACAGCAGTCCCAGCTGGTGAGACCTGAGGCTCACCTGCTGTAAAAAATGCTCTAAAACGTGAAACGTTTTTCTGGGTTACGAGCGAATTTGAATCAAGGACGATCGTAGAAACCCACAATTTAAAAGGCTCAGATTATCTACAGCTGGTTACTTCCAGTCAAAAGAATCTTAAAAGTGCTTGTCAAGCCATCTCAAAGTGCTTCACAAACCAAAACAGAATTGGAATATAGAAACCCCATAATGAAACTGTTAACTGAAAGTAATAAAAATGAAGACCAATGTACAATGGACACAGTGCAATGGGGTGAAAGGCAAGTGGAAAAATTTTACATTTCATTCCTTCCCCATTACAGAGATATTTTACACTGGACACAGGGCCGTTGCTGGCAGTGAGGGTTTTTCCCTTTGATCCCTGCTGTGCACGCATGTTTCCCGTACTCTCTAGTGAATCATTACCAGCCAACAGGATCAAAGAAATCACCAATGGCATCATACCCCCGCCCCTAGTCTTCTACAGTGCTCCTGGCAGCAACTAACAGAGCAAAAGAATGGAAATTCTGGCACTATTTCAAAAGTGCCAAACAAGCTGTGAGAAAATCTGCACCTTGACATCTATTTCACAAACTGAAAAGTGAAAAACACAAAATTCTTTAACTTTTCCATTTAAATTATTTTTTTTACTTTCACTATATCTATGAAAAACATGGTAACACCAGATGATGTATCATCATAAGGCTCTTTGTGCTGTTTGGGGGCGAAACCTGCTGAGTACCGGGTGAACTGTTTTGTGGCAGCAGGACTATCACCTTGTAGCTTGAACGTGACCACCAAGGAAAACCAGGCAGCTACTGTAAGGGCTGATGGTGGACAAAAATCAGGATACAATCACCATTCAGTTCATTTTTACTCTTTCTTTTTGTTGGTTGTTTAATGAAACATATAGTAACAACACTAACTCTTGATTTAAATTAATGGGTTGATCAAGAAAACATCAGATACCCTGTATGAAACTACTTTGCCAAAGGCAAATTTATACCATGATGATTTAAAGAGGCATGCTCGGTTTATCCATGTTTT